AAGTTGAAAACTTAAGACAAAACAAAAGCAAAAAAAAAAAAAAAAAAAAAAAAAAAAAAAAAAAAGGAAATGATAAAGTTCAGCACTTTCTCCTCTTCCTACCACAAACAGCCCAAATATCGCAGCATTTTGTCCCAAAAGTCCTCAGTAAAGGGGCAGGTTTGCTCCCGCAGGCACTAGGGGCGGGGTGCCGAAGTGTGGCCATTCACAGCAGAGGAGCACTCGCCGGACTACTAAGAAAAGACAGTCGAGAAAACGAACTGGGGCCGCCACAGCTGGCCGCACCGTGAACAAGGGATTACTAGAGGAAAGCCCCATCTAGTTCCTCAACCCAGAGCCCCTCACCTCCAAGTGCCGCAATAGCTGCGTGGCGTTAGCCTCTGACTTAACGGCTTTGTACTGACTGATGGTAAGGAGCAAGGACTTCAAGCAGGCGGTGTTGTCCATCGGAAACGGACTCAGGATCGCTCCGAAACCACCACCAAGCTGCCACCTCCGTCCTTCGCTTTCACCGCGCTTTTTTTGATTTTTCGACCCCACCCCCTTGCTCCCAGTAGCTTCCGGTTCCTGTTGAGTTTCCGGAAGGCTGTAGGTGCGCTGGAAGCCAGACTCTCGATGAGGAGTGGAGTGATTGGGTGGGTCGTGGCGCTCGGTGGGTCCTGAAGGGAGTTAGAAGCGGCTCCTACAAATCCCCTTCTTTCTCAACCCGCGAGGTTTTGCCTTCGTGATCCCGTGAAAACAAATCTCGCGAGATATTCGATTGCTACTAAACCTGTAGACGGGCGGTGATACTCCGTGGGTTGGTTGGTCTTTTGTGCGTTGTTTTCATTTTCTTTCTCGGCCTTTACGCGGGATGGCCGTTTTTTCTTTTGTCATCGTCCTCTACTTGAGAAATAGTCTAGAGACGGTGAGGAGCTCTGACAATGTGTGGGCCCCAGATTTTTGAGGTAGCCTGGAATGGACCTCATTCAAACCTTTGTTACATACACCCCTTGGGCCCAGGAATGATTGTTTCTCAGAATAAACCTACAGCCTTTGGGGTTTTGTGACAGTTGTTCCTGGCCTTATGCTACCCATTGTTAAACTTATTCAAGAGAGCTACCTCCGGGCGATTCCTGGGCCCAGGAATAGTGTATTCTTCCGGGTGGTTTCATTAGCGCCAGTTTCTGTAAGTGAAGATATCTTTCCATCTGGCATGGTTATTTTTATAAATCTCATGTCTGAAAATGGCACTGTGAGGTTTTTTTTTAAATAGTATTATGCATGTGTGTGTATTTTGAAGCGAGTTGAGTAGCTGGTTCCGCAACCTTTCTTAATTTATGCTAATGCCTAATAAAGCTTTAAAAGCCAGTTTGTGAAAAATTGTAGGAATAGTTCAAAGGACGTATTTTTTACATTACTACATTATTAAATCTGAACGTTTAAAATGATTTAGCCAATTAAAACAAATAATAATGATCAATAAACAATTACTGACTTTATAATGTACATTGCCAGTAAAGGTACAATGATTTGATGTCTCTCTTGCTAGGAAGGAATAGTCTAATAAGGGAAATTCTTAAATTGACAGTACATAGGGAATTCACTGTACACATGAGAGACACCTTGTTGTGATGGTGAAGGCTTGCCTGTGTACAAATCCTGGTGCCACCTTTTAGATGACCATAGGAAAATTGTTGTGCTTCAGTTTAGTCAGTTAACGTAGAATCTGGCTAATAGAGAAGTAGCTGTTTACTACCTTTATTCATTCATTCAATAAATATTCATTGGGAGCCTGCAGTGTGCTTTGTGAGTAGGACCCTGCTGTCATGGGGCTTAACATTATGGTAGGGAAAGAGACAATAATTCATTTTAAAATTACATGGGGAAAATACAGAGTTGATATTCTGGAGTTATAGCAGTTGAGGAGAAAGTGAACATAATTTTCAATAGGAAAGTCAGGACAGATCTCATTGAGAAAGCAAATTTGAGAAAATACTACAAGGAATTGAGAGAACCGTGCTGTCTATGGGAAAAGACTTCCAAATACAGGGGATAATAAGGCAAAGGTCTTGAAGTAGGACTGTGTCAGTATGTACCAGAAACAAGATGACCACTATAGCAGGAGTGGAGAAAGTAAAAGGATGACAGTAGCTGTAGATGAAGTCATTTAAAGTTTTAGAGACAATTACAGAACGAGTTATCAATGTAAAGAGTATAGAACAGTGTGGTATAACTGTTGATAAGTATTTTTCATCTGTTAGACATTTCACCTTATAATGATAATATGTCATCATCACTTCCATTCTGGGGCAGAGGAAAGGATTAGCATTGCCTGCTTATAGATGTTATCTTTGAAATCTTGCAATTTTACTTAAGCAGTGTTTCAAATTTCAAGTTCTCCATAAAGTCATGTAGCGTCTAGAGGGGTTTCTAAGTACCTAGGTTAGGTGATTGAGAAGATGTAGACAGTGTTGAGGCTGTTAATAAAAATATTTAGGGTGTATTTTATGTTCAATGATATTTTATGTAGTTTATCATATATAGCTTACTATCTTACTAACTCAGTATCATACTTACGGAGTCCTGTGTGGCACTGTGGGCTAATGTGTCAGAATGCAAAATCAGTTTGAACTGCAAGGTCGGTGGTTCAAGCTCACCAGCTACTCCTTGGAAACCCTATACAGGGTCGCTATGGGTCAGAATAGACTCGACAGCACTTAACAACAACAACAACATCTTACTAACATTAGTTTTTCCATTTCCTCCAAATAGGAGCTTTAAAAGAGGATCTGTGTTCTTTAAAAAACAGGTCTATGTCTGGCATGCAGTAAATATCTGATGAATGAATAAACTGTTGGTGTTAAGTGCTGTGGAATCACTTCAGACTCATAAGAGGATTTCCGAAGAGCGGCTGGTGGAATTGAACTGCTAACTTTGCAGCGAGCAGTCCAGTGCTGATCCCACAGTGCTACACTAGGACTATATCCTAGAATATACTTTATTAGATGATACATGATAAACTATACCATCTAATGAAGTACATTCAAGGATATTATATAATTTTTATTACTATAAATGGGTTCTAGTCTTATTTTTACTATCTTAGGTATTTAGTGCAAAATTTCAAAACCAAACACTTTTGTTATCAAACAGTAAAATCTCTGATTCCTGTTACTTCGCATGGGGATATCCAAAATAACACCAGTTTACAGATGATATTTAGAAAATAACCTCAAGAAAGAGGTAATTCTACCTCCAACCTGATGACTGGTTAAGTCAGAAACTATGTAGGGTCACAGATGCTATTTTAATCCCAAGGTAAAAATATAATCAAAGACCACAGTTCCACATATGTATGATAGAAGAGGCTCTCTTTTTCTTTTATAAAAATTTAGTTTGTTATTGCTGATGTGGTGCTGCGGGATAATGCGCTAGACTGCAAGGTCAATTTGAACTTAAAGGTTCAACTTACCTTGGAAACTCTGTGAGTCAGAACTGATTCGATGGTATTTAACAACAACAGCAACTCTAAAATAGAAGTGTTGATGTGGCTCTGTAGGATAAGCACTGGATTGCTAACCATAAGGTCAGAGGTTCAAACCCACCAGCCTACTTCTTGGAAATGCTATATAGGGTTGCTATGGGTTAGAACCAAATCAACAGCACTGACCAACAACAAGGATTCTAAGATGCACATTTTTTATCTAGTTCTTATCCAGCCTTTTAACTGAACTCACAGTTCTAACAGAGCCTCATTTACTATTTTAGAATTATAGCTATATATTATTATCTGCAAATAATACTTTTGTCTCTTAGTCTATATCTGTTGTGTATATTGTAGTAGTTTAATTGCTAAACTGAAATAATCATACTGGTATTTGATATTTTTATATTATTGCTTAACTTAATGGGAATGGCTTCACTATTTTGGTATTTAGTATAGCTAATGGTTTGTGCTGGTAGCGTAGTGGTTACGAATCGGGCTGCGAACCTTAAGGTCAGCGGTTCGAAACTACCAGCTGCTCCGCGGGAGAAAGATGAGGCTTTCTACTCCCGTAAAGATTTACACCCTATACAGGGTCGCTATGGGTCGGAACCGACTCGATGGCACATAACAACAACAACAACAATGGTTTGTGATAAATAGTCTTTATTATGTTCAAGAGACTGCCTTCTGTGTCTGCTTTACTTTAAGATTTATCAAAAATACTAAAAATTTACCACATGTTCATTTTATATATCTTATGTGGTATTATAAGATAAGCAATGAACTGCTAATAACCAGTGACGCCTTGGAAACCCTATATGTTGGAATCAGCTTGATGGCACTTAATAGCAACAAACAGTTTTCCTCTTTAAAATGTTTATGGGATGGCTTATATTGTTTTAGTTATTGTTGCTATTCTTGTGATAATAATAATAAACACATTAAACTATACATTTGCCAGGTGCCAAACACTAGTCTGAGGACTTTATCCCATTTTATCTTCTAACAACCCCATACAATAGTTGCCAATATGATCTCCATTTTACAGATGAAAAACTGAGACAGGAAGAGGTGAGGTAATTTGCCCAGATCAACAAGGAGTAATAACAAACTTGATAAATTGTGTGGAGTACTGTTGTGGCACTCTAGGATATGTACTGCACTGGTAAACACAAGGTCAGCAGTTCAAACCCACTAGTTGCTTCTTGGAAACCGTATATAGGGTCACTATGAATTGGCACCGATTTGATGGCACATAACATCAATATATGGTATGGCCCAGGTTTTGATTTGCTGATTTTTTTTTTTTAAGGATTTCATAATAATATTCATAAGTGTTTTGTATTCTCTATTTTGGCAGTTGAGTCATATGCTACTTTTGAAACAATGATATGGAAGCATTTCCATCCTTTTTTCTGTGCAACGGAATAATGAGTATCACACAGGAATCAGTTGATCCTTCACTCTATGGAACTGTCCTGTAAAATAACCAAGCTGAATATCATTTAGTAGTAAGTCTTTAACAAATATTTGAGTTTAAAATGTGGTTAAAGTTCTGCTATTTTTTTTTTTTTTTGTACCTTGAGTTAATTTTGGCAATATACATTTTTTAAACAAACTAATTATTTCTCTATTTAAAAAAAATTGATCGAAGATTGCATTTAGTATTCTGATAATTCTCTTCTTTGTAGTTTAGACTTTTTAAAATTCTAATATCTTTTATTTTAATTGAGCTTTTCTTTCCATTTTATTCAGCTTTTCAAGAACCAATTTTGGGTTTAGTTATTTTTTTCTTTGTTTATAAAATGACTAGTTTTATCTTTATTAATTCCATCATCTACGTGCACTTTTTAGTTTTACTTTTTCTAGTTTTTTTGAAAGTTGAAGGCTTAGTACATTTCCAAGCTATATTCTTTTTATAAAAAAAATATATTTTATGCCCCCCCATTTTTTAAAATGAGCATCTACATTTATTTACCTTTCAAAAAAATAACTGTGTATAATAATTTTAGTTGTCCAGGTAAATATATTTTCTTTAAA